TGACATCATTGATGGCGTCAAGTGTGGCAGCGGTAGTGAGGTTGGCCCAGGATCGGACATTGTTTCGTTCTGCTGTGCATGGGGTCGCTATGAGTGGGTTCCAACTCAATGGCACCTGAAAACAACAACAGAAGAATAATAATAATAATAAAACCATGCAAAAGTTCTCATCAACAGTCTATCCCCATGTCACTCCCTAAAAATAGCTTCTATTAGTGCCTGGGGTGGGGGTGGGGGTGGGTGCAGGGACTGGGCAGGGGATGGGTGCTCAGTATTGCTGGTGGGCTCTGGTGGAGGTCTGCATATGGTGGTCCAGATATCATCTCTGGTGGTAAGTAGACCTTGCTTTGAGTTCCATCTTGATCATCCCTGGATGCCAAGCTGTATGTCTTGGGAAAGTTACTTAACCCCTCGAAGTTTCAGTCTCTTCACTTGCATAATCCGTTGCCATCCACCGTATAGGACAGAGTAGGGCTTCCTCTTAGGGGTTTTCAAGACTGTAAATATTTACAGAAGCCAACTGCTACATCTGTCTCCCACGCAGTGGCTAATGGATTCGAACGGCTAACCTTTTGATTAGCAATTGAGCGTAACCACTGTGCCACCAGGGTTCCTTGACTTGCACATAGAGAAACAATAAATACGTGCCTTATACAGTGCTTGTGTGGAGTCCTGGTGTGGCCCTGCAAGGTTGGTTTGAACGATAAGTTTGGTGCTTCAAACTCACCAGCTGCTCCTTGGAAATAGGGTTGCTATGAGTTGGGACTAACTCGACTGCACTTAACAACAACGTGGTGATTGTGAAGATTAAAAGCAAGAAAACCACTCACCTGACACATAGCGGCTGTTTAGCTATTATCCTTCCAGATTCTTTGATGTATCACCATTTCTTGGTTGCACTTTGCAGATACTGCATTTTGTACAAATTGAAAGTTTGTGGCAACTCTGTGCTGAGCAAGTCTATGAGTGATGTTTCCTCAGCAGCATGTGTTTAACTGCAAGTAAGAGAAAACTCAAAATGACTTAAATATGTTGTTTTTGTTAAGTGTCATCAAGTTGGTTCCAACTCAGAACAACCCTGTATAGAGTTTTCAAGGAGCAGCTGGTGGGTTTGAACTGTTAATTTTGGAGTTAGCAGTTTGTGCTTATCCTACTGTGCCACACCAGGACTCTGTTGGCTAATTTTTCTCATAGTCCATGAAGCTTGATGAGAGGTGGTTCCTAGTCCTCATTCAGCTTTCAAAGGTTCCGTCCAGGACCATGCTACCATCTATAGTCTTTTCTTTTATCTCAGGGACACAGATGATAGTCACAACATCAAACATTTAGTCCACACTGAAACCTCAAAGGAAGTTAGAAAGGGTAGCTCCAGGCAGATAAACAATAACCACAAAACAAAAAATGATGCCATCAAGTTGGTTCTGACTCAAGGCACGCAAGGAACTGTGTGCTCCATAAGATTTTCTAGGCTGTGACTTTTTGGAAGCAGATCACCAGGTCTTTCTTCTGAGGTGCTTTTAAAAGGATTTGAATGACCAGACTTTTGTTTAGACACGGAGTACTTAACCCTTTATACCACCCAGGGATTCCTCCATCCATATGAGTTCCCTTTTATTAAGAAAGAAAAAATCCACCAGAGCTCTGCCTCCAGTAGAATTCCACTAGTGTAATCTTGGCCTGATCATGTCATGTGGTTACCCCTTGCTGCAAGAGTTGGACACTGGCATTAGGTGAAACAATTCAAAGTGTCTGTTGTCTTGGAAACAAATCTGTTAGTACATAATGTGCTCTAATATGTGAACACTTCAATTATTCATAACACTTTCCTCTTCAAACAATGCTGCAACAAGCCTTCTTGTGTTTGTATATGGTCCTGCATTAATGATTCTAGAAGGTCTGTCTCTAGAACAGGCATCTATATTTTAAATGTTGGTAACATCAGGGCCTAAATAAGAAAATTCTCCTCTTGTTTCCAGAGAGATTCTGGGAAGTTCGAGGATGATAGAATGAAACTTTCTTTGATTCTGACTTGTCATTTGGTCATTAACAAATAGCTAAATTTTGCTTTTGATGTTGGGAGGCCAGCAATGATTCTTCTTACATAAGTGTAGACCGAGCGGGTGGCTGAATATTAGGAGCTTTGGGCCAGTAAAGATCATAAGAAGAAATGAATGGACTGGCTGATAGTTATTCACAGTGTCATCGGATAGAAAGGGGTTCTTACATGATGGTCTAAAGCAAGCCTACTCAAGGTGAACTGCCACTTCTACTCTAGACAAATGAAAACTTACATTCCAATGAAAACCTATGCATAGATATTTATGGCATTCTATACAATTGTTCTGGTGTTGTGCTGTAGGATCAGCACTGGACTGGTAACCACAAGATCAGTGGTTCAAACCCACCAACCACTCCCTGGGAACCCCAGTTAGGGTCACTATGAATTGGAACCAACTGGACGGCACTTCACAACAGCAATTTATAATTGTTAGAAATGGAAACAATCAAAATGCCCTTCAACAGGTGAATGGAAAAATAAACTTTGGTACATCTATCCATAAAATGGAATTCTTGTTAAGTGCTGTCGAGTCAATTCTGAGTCATAGCGACCCTGCATAGGGATTCCAAGGAGCAGCTGGTGAGTTTGAACCACGAGCCTTGAGGTTCAAAGAGACCTTATGGTCCAGTGCTTACCATACAGTGCCACACCAGGATGCCATACAGGGAATGATATTCAGTAATAAGAAAGAATGAACTTGTGCCACACCAGGACGCCGTGCAATGGAATGAGATTCATTAATAAGAAGGAATGAACTACTTTCATTTGCAGCTACTCATGAATCTCAGGCATTACAGTGAATGAAAGAGGCCAGTTTTAAAAGACTAAATATTGTATGATTCCACTTACATGACAGTCTCAACAAGATAAAACAAGAGCAATGAACAAGAAAAACAATAGCTCAATGCTTGCCAGGGTTTGGAGGTGGGGGAATTTTCTGCACAATAGAACAATTCTGTATCCTGATTATAGGATTGTTTACTCAAATGTATGTTAATATATGTTGATGGAACTTTACATTAAAAGAAACAAAACATCTTTTACCTATAAAAAGAACATACGAAGCAGATCATGGACAAGCCACAAAACTGTCATTGGTCCATGATGAAGAAAGTACAGAAATTAAGAGTCTTTTTTCAAAAAAAGAAAGAAAGAAAGAAAGAGACTAAGGGTACTCAGAAATTTCTATACCAATTTTCCTGGTAGCACAAACGGTTTGTATTTGACCAGTAACTTAAAAGTTGGCAGTTCAAACCTACCCAGCAATGCCACTGAAGAAAATGTGGCGACCTGCTTTCATAAAGATTAGTTGTTGTTAGGTGCCGTCAAGTTGGTTCCAACTCATAGCAACTCTGTGCACAACAGAACAAGAACACATACAGATTACAGGAAGAAAGCCCTAGCAGTAGTTCTATTCTGTCATACATGGGGTTGCCACAAGTCAAAATTGACTTCATGGCAACAGGGGTTTTCTTGTTTTTGTGATTTGTGTGTGTGGCTTTTTTGTTTGTTTGCTATATAGCAATTTTCCTTTATTATATGTATTCTGATTCTTGTTATTGAAATGCAGTAATAAAATGTAATTTAAATTGCAATCTAGCACTGAACAATTGGGGTTTGTCTTTTAAATTTCAATTTCCCAGTAATTTAAAAAATTCTATTTTATAAAAATAACTGTTCACAACAGATTGAAATGAAAACAGACACAAAACACAGTGGTTTTGCACAAGCAGGTGGCTACTCTAAGGATGCAAAGAATGAGCGAATGAAAGACTGGACACTCTGGGAACAGGTGGAGGATGCATTGGCTGGTACCATTTATGAGCAGGCTAACTTCCCGTAAAGGGACAAGAGGAGGGTTTGCTGTTTCTGCCACGGTGGAACCCAGGCTGACAAGTGCAGTAATTGCAGCCAATTTGCAGCTACATTTAGATCGTTTACCAACAAGGTTTGAAATGGCAGCCGGTGACCTTTCAGCAAATGTCAAAGTTCTTACAGGACACTAACAGAGCAGCTGTGGCTAAACCCCTGAGGAGAGGAGCGGAGTGGAGCGGAGGAGAGCGGGGAAGAGTGCACCTCTCA